TTCTGTACTTTTGAGCAGTGTTTCTTCACCTTCTTCTATACCTATTATTAGGTTTGGCCTTTTCATAGTGTCCCATATTTCCTGGACATTTTGTGTTAGGAATTTGTTGGACTTGAGATTTTCTTTGGTCAATGACTATATATCCTCTAGAGAGTCTTCAACAACTGAGATTCTCTCTTCCATCTCTTGACTTCTATTGGTTATACTCACATCTTTAATTCCTGATCATTAATCCAGCCTTTCTATTTCCAGCATCACCTCAATCTGTGTTTTCTCTATATTTTCTATTTCAGATTTCATGCCTTGAACTGTTTCGAGTGCTTCCTTCACTTGTTTGGTTGTTTTTTCTTGGCTTTCTTTAGATTCTTTAAGACATTTGTTTATTTTTTTGATTTTGTTGGTTTTCTTTTCCTCCACTTCATGTAATTTTTTCTTTGTTTTTTCTTCTATTTTTTAAGGGATTTTCTTGTTTCCTCTTTAAAGGTCTCTATCATCTTCCTAAGATAATTTTTGAGATTCATCTCTTCTTCATCCTGTTTTGGGCTTTTCAGATCTTGCTGGCATGGAGTCATATTCTGGTGGTGTCATATTGGTCTTTCTGTTTTTGAGTGTGTTCTTATTCAGTCTTCTTCCCATGTCTTCTTCCAGTGGGTGCAGGGGGGTTCTCTCTATCTCCTCTTGTCACCTGGTGGTGTGTGTGGGCCAAGACTTCATTGTCTGCAGCTCTGGATGGTCTTGCCTCTCCTCACTAGGTAAGGGTGAGGCTGGTGGAGGAAAGGGAAAGAAAGAGTGAGGTGTTTCCAGACTCAGGGGGCTCCTCCCTGCCTGGGCAGGGTCCACTCTTAGCAGGCCCAGGCCCAGAGAGATCCTGGGTGAATGGGAAGTTGGGTAGGAGTAGGACAGGAGCAGAGGGTACACTCACCTCAGTAGGGGTCAGGCCAGTGGACAATACTGAGGTTTCTGCTACAGCTGAGGCTGCACCTTCACCAAAGGCCTCATGCAGTGCCAAGTCTCAGCTGCTCTCCGTAAACCCCTTCAATCCTGCAGCTTCATGCCACCAAAATCAGTTACATGCTTACACATGACCAGATTTGGCTATCACCCTGACATGCAGCCTTGGCCCCCTCTGGACCACAGCTTCGGTGTGCTGGTCCTGGGAAGCACTTTGCAGAAGATTTTGTTCCGGTGATGCTGGTCTCTTCAGAATCACAGCTGATTCCGTAGCCACAGCTGACCAGTGTCAATTGTTCCAGCAAAGAACAGGTTTCACTTCAGTGGGTTTTAGTATCTTACTACTCACAGTTGATTCTTCAGCCCCCGCTGACCAGAACCACGGATTCTTACTTCAAAATATTGAACGATCCCAATAGCATATTAAAGGGACTCTCAGACTTCTCTCTGGAACCTCCATTGTCTGCTCTACTGTCAGCATTATCTTCTAGGTCCCCACAGAACAGCCCAATTCCCAGAGACAGAATTCAATAGCTTTTCCAACCCAGAGATCCAAAGTCATAATACAACCCTCCCCCAAAACATGGTCAAGTCAATCATAGCAATATCCTATGAACCTGGTACCAATTTCTGTCTTAGTTAGGGTTCCTGTTGCTGTGATAAAACACCATGAACAAAAGCAACTTGGGAATGAAGGGGTTTGTTTCAGCTTACAATTTCATATCATAGTCTGTCATCGAAGGAAGTCGGGGCAAGAACCTGGAGACAGGAACTTCTGCAGAGAGCGTAGAAGAGTGTTACTTATTGGCTTGCTTCTCAGGGCTTGCTCACCCTGCTTTCTCACCAGCAGGCCAGGGGTGACAGCTCCCATTCTAAGCTAGTGTCACCCCCCCCGCATCAATAAACAATGAAGAAACACCCCCACAGTGTTGCCCAGGTCTGGGTATATTCTCAGTTCAGGTTCCCTCTTCCCAAATGAATATAGCTTGTATCAAGTTGGCATAAAACTCGGCAGCACAGATACCAGTCCCAGGAAACTGTAAGAGGTCTACATTTTATCTGGTTATTTCTTCCTGATACATTTGAGATGTCTCTTTATTCCGTGACTCCTACATGTCATCTCTTATGTCCAGACTTCATTAGATTCTGGCTAGCCAGTTTTAGCACAGATATGACATAGATACTGTTGTGTCCTTCACAGTAGTCATGAGGAGTTAGCTACACACTCTGAGGCCCATCCCTCTTCATTTGTCTCTAAGGTGATGGAACCTTCCTCTGGTTTCTTTTGTGTCAGTATGTGGTTCCCCCTCTGTCAGTGCCAGTGATTCTGGAATCTCTTGCTCGTCTACTCTTTAGCCTTTACCCCTCTCCTCGTGGTTTTCTCTGATTTCTTACAGCAGAATTTGAGGAGGTAAGCAAGTTCCCAAGTACCACTTTAGGCTTAGGGTTTGGTGGTTTCTCAACCTTTGCAGCTCTTGAATGTACTCAAGGAAAGGTACTGTTTGGATTGTCCAGCATTGTGTCTATTGTAGTGGCAGGAGCGCTGTTCTCAGCCCTTCTCAACATTCCACTGACGGTTTCCTCCTCTGGGGTTTGAGCCAGTCATCCTTAAGGATTTATTTTAGAGTCTTCTTATTACTCATATTTATTTTTCCTTTTTGACTGAAGTACTTTAGAAACAGTAGTTCCTAAGGCCATGGTGTGTATTTATTTCTCTTTGATTCATGGGATTTTACAGTAAGGAATGTTAGTTTAACAGTTACGTTTTGTTTTTGTTTTTTTTTAAAAAAAAAAAGAGCCAGCTAAGAGAAATTCATTGGGAGAAAGAATACCAAGCCCACACCAGTTAGTTTGAGAGTCTTCTTTGGTTAAATATATTGTAAAAGTAAGTTAAGGAATCAAGGTAGCAACTTTTCAACCTCAGAATTTTCTAATATTTCCAAATAGTCCCTGCCCATAATTACAAGTCCTAATTACAAGTGCATGCCAGGAATAACACCAAAGTAGCCTTTTTAGGAGAAATAAAGAGGTCTCTATTATTTCAAGTACTCACACATTCACTTTTAGCAGAAATCTTGTCTGGTTCTGTTGGCAGTCAGCACTTCCAGATGAGTCCAGGAGGCAGCTGATACCATAATAGTAGGAAAAGCTTGGAAAAGAGCCATCTCTTTATTTGAGTCAAGAGGCATTAGCGCACTGCAGTTTTTGTTCTCTCCCCTCCCCACTCCTTGTCTGATTTCTGCTCCTCTCCCCCTTGTTCTTCTTTAATAACCTGCCACCACGTCCACCTGGCACTGGGCACAAAGTCCTGTACTTTCCCACTTCTGTCTGCCAGCCTGGGGCCTGTGTCCTGATTAAATCTGGAGCTCCTTGCTGATGTGTGGGACAACATATGAATCTTCTGTTAGATTTCTGAAAAGCACATGCCCACATCCACACTGGCTGTGCTGTAAAGCTTGTGCAAAGTACACACACACACACACACACACACACACACACACACACACACACACACACACACACCACTGTGCAAGACACAAAGACACACTATCGAAGCCTTGGCTTGAGAATGAAGCTGATTGTGCCATAAAGGAAAAGAAATAGGCTCCCAATTAATGTCTAGCACTTTTGCTGTTGATATCTTTGAGTCCTGTTTATAATAATCATGTATTCAAAGAGATCAGCTGAGGTATGCTTTAAATGAGAAGAGATTTGTTGTAATTAAATTTATCCTTTCTCTGTAGCAACATCAAAGCATGTAAAAGTAGTGTTTGTCTTGATTATTTTACTGTGTGGGAAAATGTAAGAAAAGTGGACTAAAATCACATTCAGTGTTTCTTTTTTCGGTAATATTTATTGTGCAAAATAGTTTTCATTGTGACATACTCCTGTGTGTACATAAGTACTTTGACTGTGTTAATTGTCCCCATTACTAAGTGCAGGTTTGTTACTTTTTTTTTTTTTTGGTAGCATTAGACTGGAGGAAGGTGTGGCTAGGAGGTGTGGTGGCACAGGGGGTACCTGACACAGTGGGGAGTGAAAGGTAGGTCTCCTGTTATCCACATGAAAGGCTTCAAGAAGGTAAACTCACACAACTCTGTAAGGAAGACCTGATTTGATAAATACACACATGAGACGGCTGTATCTTAGTTGCATGGTTTTGGGAACCTCCCTTGGCTTGCCGTGGTCATTGGCAGTTGGTGGTTTATAACATATGCAAATTCCAGCTGCTGCCTTGCTTGGCTGAGGAGCGTAGCAGCCACGACAGAGATGTATAGCTAATGCTAATTCTGTGTGACCACTTAGCCTTTCGTTCTTTCTTTTAGTAATTTGATGTGTTTTCCCTGAGGAAAACTTCTACATAATAATAAAAAAAAAAGTACCATCTGCCAGATTGTCTCAAAGCAATTTCAGTGCAGAACAACGGTTGCCTTAAATGATTGGCTCTTCCTCACTCCTCTGCATGTCAGGGGCATTCATTTCAATGAATTAAGTTTTCTCTTTGAGACCATGTTTAGGTGTGAAATTGTCCATGTAAAGAAATAGAAGTATTGCACATAGCTGCTAATCTGTAAGCGTGGAATAGAGGAATCAGAATCTGTGTGGGTCCCTTCTGGAAAGTAGGATTCTAGTTAGGGCCACCATTAAAAAGTATTAGGATAGCTGTGAGGGGTAGAGTATAAACAATATGAACATTTTGGGGGAAATTGACATGAGAAGTTCTGTGTGATTAATTTGTAATTTTCCTGAGCCCACACTTACCCATGTATGGAAAGGCATCATTCGTATGCTAATGAGCATAGTTGACAATAATAATATAGCTGGAACTGTAATGAATTAGTTCCCCTTCCCCCTTCTCCTTCCACACAGAGACTACTCACTGGGCTGCCCAGTCAGTTTTCAGAATCACTGTTGCTATGGGTAGGGTCAGGGGAGGGAGAGGCAGTGTCTCTTATTCTGTTTCGATGCAGATCTTCACCCAAGCCCTCATACTGTCAGGGCCAATTGTGAAGCACTGTGGGCTGAACTTGTGAATTAGTCTTGGTCTTTACCATGAGGTAAGAATACTCCATACTTTGATGGGCAGCAGGAAAGTAATTGACCTATTAGAGAGGCAGTAGGTAGCCTTTGACTTAAGTGAAGTGATGGCTTTGCTTGCCAACCTGTGACATCTTCTGTTACAGCAATCATGAACTACTGTCTTAACCAACAGAACAAGGAGTAGAGCTAGGGGTTTACTAATACAGTTGTTTGGATTTTCCAGTGATTTATGCAAGTTTTTAAATCTTAGAAGGTACTGATATGTATATTTATTGTTTCATAAGGTAATTTGAGAAATTATTACTGGGCTGCCACAGAGTCTTGCCATGCCTCTAAAATGTATTCATTTAGAAAAGGAACTATCAGGTAGTGTGTTTAAATTGCCTATATCTTACGTTCTCATTGATCAAGAGATGTGGAGAAGTTTTCAGAGCTTTGTACTATAACTAAAATAACGACACAGAGCAAGTAGTAACCCCTTTTTTAGATTTCAGTATATATGCTCAATAGTTGATACTTTCAGCTGATAAAATTGTATTTTAATAGAAGTTTTCTGATTTCTTTACAAACATGGTAAGCATACATCAGAATGATGTATGGCATGTCTCAAGGGTATAGCTTAATATTTTATCCTCTAATTGAGTTGCAGTTTCTTTGGGTGTTAATAAAGAGCCATGCTATTGATTATATTAAGCATGTAACTGCCACTCATGTATGGGGAGGTGGAGATACAGTATCACTATGATCCTTTGCTTAATTTATTGCTGTGCATATATCACGATGTCATTATACCCCATAAACTAATGAAGGCTGGGATCTGTTGACTTTTTATTTAAAACATAAAATGTTTACCTTATTTCTGAACAAAATGATGGAGAACAAAACAAGCAGTATCGTTTCAAACAGAACTGGAATGTTCTAGAATAGAAACTGACCTCAGAGGCAACTAGATCTGCCATGTTGGTGTTAAATGATGGAGAGACAGAGAAGCCAAAGGTTCAGTGTCCTCATGGTCTGTTTGTCTGATAATGATGGCGTGCATCCTGCTCACAGTTTCTGCCCCAGGGAGCAGGTGTGGAGAAAGTTGGGCTCCCTTGGCCCATGTAAGGTACCTCTCTGGAAGGTGCTAAATCGCACTTCTACTTTGTGAGCTGTTCAGCCTTTGCAAAGCTGCAGAGAGACTATGCTGGTGAAGTTCACCAGCACACTTGGACACATGCTGTGAGTTTTGTGCATGTTGGCCTTTGTCTCACATGTGAGTCAGCAACACTCCGCTCCTGTACTGGAAGAAGGCCCACCTCGCTTCACAGAGCCTCGGGGTGGGTGATGCTGAAGACATACAAGAGATGGTGGGCATCTAAGCTTATAGTCATAACCAGTTATGGCCTTTTCAGTTTGGGGTAGTGTGATTGTTATAATTCAAAAGTAATACATATTCACTGTGGACAAATACAGATAAGCAAAAAGATATTTAAAGCGTAACTGGGGAGACTGGGGAGATGGTTCAGTTGGTAAAATATGTGTTGTGCATGCATGCATTCACAGACATTCAGAGAGAGAGAGAGAGAGAGAGAGAGAGAGAGAGAGAGAGAGAGAAAGTAATCTGTAACTCTACTGCCCAGGTAAAAACTACTTCACATTTGGAGTGTGTCCTTGGAACTACCTATAAGCATTCTGTTGAAGCTCTTCCAGGTTGTTAAGTATAGATAATGAATGCTGTTAGGAAGTCTCACATGCATGCATGTCCTGTGAAGTAAGTGTTTTCAGTTATCTTCATTATTTCAGATATTAAACAGAGGCACAAGAAAATTAAGTGACTTGCCAAGAAGGGTCACATTCTAAGTAGGAAATACCAGACTAGAAGACAGATGTCTCTATGTCTACATCTAGCTAGTCTGGAAAGAGGAACCATGCAGGCTGCTGCACAGCTGTGACTTGAAGCACAGATCAGCATCAGTGTCTGCCTCCTTCAGCACAGTCAGTCTGCAAAACTGTACCAGGGGGGCGTTCACTGTCTGCAGTCATATTGTGTATTGTCACCATCTTGGATTGAGAAAGCCAAAGGCCAGGCACTGTGTGTTGCCTCTGTGGACAACTCTTTGCTAATTAAAATGAATATGTTACATAGAGAGATGGTCGTGTGTCTTTGACTCTCACCCTTAATTCTTCCTGTGGACTAAATGTGGTTCACCCATGCCAATCGTGTTGAAGTTTGATTCCTGTTGTGACATGAAAGGAGGTGTGGCCCATAGGAGATGATTAGATTGTTAGAGAACTCTTACGCTTTCCAAGCAGGAGTGGATTCTTGCTCCTGTGTAACTGAATTAGTTCCCCCAGAAGCTGGGCTGCTGTACCGAATTCCCTTCCTGTCTGTACTCGTCCTCACGTGCCTGCCTGCCCTTCCTCCTGCCAGAGATGACGTTTTAGGGCTTGCAATGGAAAACACACTGAGATGTCTGCCCCTAGATATGTGGCTCAATTCTATTGTTCTGATAGTTTGAAGGTTTTGTTTTATTTTTAGGCAAAAATTCCTGATAAGAATTTTTTTTAAATCATGAAATAAATTATTTGTTCGGGGAAGGATTTACCTCCCTATATGGGAAGGCTGCAATTTACTACTGCATAGGACACTCTGTCAGGTCAGAAGCAAGATGGTAGGGTATTATTTATTTTTGTTCAAAATTGTTGGAATGAGCATTTGGAAATTCTTTATTTTTGAGGTCAGGTCTCACTATGTTTCTTAGCCTGATCTCAAGTGGTCCTACTATGCACTAAGATTATAGAAGTGATTCACAAAGCAAAGGAGTTGCCAACATGCTCTCATGAACCTCACATGAAGTGTGCCTTCAGATGGCGTTCTGTGTAACTGCCTCACAGAATCCTCACTTGGTAATTGCATGGGACCAAGGGTTCATGTGAGAATGTTTTCTCCATCTGCTCCAGCCTCTCCTGCAATCTCGGGCTCACTTGTGTGTTCTCCCACCTGCTGTGTGCGATTAATTGTGCTGTGCCATTGATGAGCAGAAACAAGAATCGTGTTATTGGTTTCTGTGTATTATAGAATCACAAAATCCACTTTCAGAGAGGTCTAGTTTCATCACACGACAGTCCTATTTCCTCTGTCCTTCGCTCCAAAGAGCCAGATGTGAGGGCTGTACTATATGCATTTGTAGATCTTCATCAAGCTCAGGTAGAGCACAACCATGCTATTTTAATACATTTTTGTGGTCTTATAAACCCAACATTCAAGAAGTTACTGAGATTAATATAAATATTAAGCTGCTTTAAATTATATTGTAATCATTTGCCTTAGAAAATCTTGCATGGCATAATGATGCAGCAACAGGAGATAGGTTAAATAAACCATCATATAGACTAATGCTGAGCCATTAAAAAGACAAAGAAGCAAATTCACAGTTTGTCTGGTGAGAAGCAGGGTACCCATGGTGTTCATAATAAAATTTTATCTGCTCCCATCAATATCATATTTAACAAAGTATCAGTTGACTTATGCTTTCTTGTTTGGCTTATTCCAGTTCTAAACCTTCTATCAATAATATAGAACATGTATAAAGAAAAAATGTTATTAAGATAAAGCCATGCATTACCAAACTATTAAATATTTTTGCCTCACTCTTCACAATCGGCATAAATGTGAGGAGGCTGTACTTATCCTTTTATCTGTAGCCTCTGCAGAGTGTTTGTGGTGAGTAGAACAATGGAGGAGATGAAGCCACATCCTAGCCAGATCTCTCCATCCTATTGTCATTCGTTGCTTTTTTGCGGGGGGGGGGGGGGGTGTGGTTGGTATGGCTCCTTTTCCTTTTTGTTTGTTTTCCTTGGAGTCAGGATTTCTCACTCTTCCCCAGGCTATGTAGCCGAGGTTGATCTCACCTTTCCTGGTTACTACACTGATTTCTATTTCTTTCTTTCCTTTTTCCTACAAAAGCATTTATTAGTAAAATGCCTAAATTATAGGCCTATAGCTCAGTGATTTTTTTTCCTATGTGCGTGTCCATCAGCCTGACCT